CCCAATTGAGTATTCTATATTTTTTGGTAATTTTTATATAACCGGTTTAAGCCTTAAGTTAGTTTTTTCACTACTTCATCTGATTGATTGTGTATGCGAGTTTTGTTGAGAATTTATCAGGATCGAGATTATTTCTTTATCCGGATCTGAGCATTCTAATTAAAGAGCGATTTAATTGTCAATTCTAATCATTTCTTAACCATTTCAATTTTCCTCCATGCCATAAGGTTAAGTACTTTGGGGTAAGTATTTGTATAGGTATCGATCAAGAGTTAGTTCATCTAGCTCTTGAGATCTGTGGTCTTATTTCGTTACTAGAGTATTTGTCCAGTATCAGGGCGTACTTCCATTTTTTTAACAACATGCAAAATGATCGCTTTCGATTGTTTGTCATAATTTCCTGTTGGATTAAAAGCACTACTTGATCATTATTTGTATTCTATGGTTTTAGTTATTTCTCTAAAATTCTATTACTTAGCCACTCGGTACCCTCCATCTTAATGATCACTACTCTGCGTCGAGGTCTTATTGATTCATTTTTATCTTATTAGTTCTATTAGCTGGTATGCCATGCATGCCCGTTCTATGACTATTCACTCGGACGACACTATTCCTTATATACTAGTTGTTAATAGTAACCCCTTTCAAATTAAGTGGCAAATATCAGTTCATCCGCTTTGCTATTGCTTTTATCTTTGTACTATTTTTAGCATTGATGCCGCTGTACAGATCTTTGCAGACGCTAGACCTCCAGGTATATACAAAAGCGACTACTTGCGCGAACTCTTTAGAAGATATGGAGATGAAGAGGACTGTCCTCCGGCTCCAGAAAAGCCTGATTGGTGCTTGGGTAAGTGTCTTAATCGCTTAACTAATCGCCAAATTTTTTATTGATGATAAATGTCCTTTTGTGAATCTAAAATATTCACCATGGCTATGCACTCGGCTTCGCGCTACTCCAGCCTTATATAGAGGAACAAGGAAACGAGTCACTGGATGCCTTGTATAGAAGAAAAGTAACAGATCAGGACTCGATGGGAGAAAGCACAGACAATGGAGGAGTGTGGCTTTGGTGCAAAATGGCGGTGTTTGGTCACAGAGGGTAACTACCGCACCAGGGGAGCGACGAGGCACGGAGTTTTTTATTTAAAATATTCTTATGTTTTTTTTGATGCCACGTTCTGATTACTTCAACGGAAAGGCTCGATGCGGTGTCAATAATATGCGCATATTTGTTTTTTTCGTCGTATACAAAAAAAAGGCTCCCGAGACCTGTCGGGCTCTTAGCTTCCTGACCGTGGTGGCTTTTGATAATTTTTCCCGAGAACAAACTTGAACACAACCACGTACTCGAAATCCGAAATTGTGGTCTTACTAATACCATCTTCTCGGGTTTTGACGACGGTGCATCGGAGTCGAGTTCGAGGGTAGAAGATGCTCTTGTAATTTTAATTATATTGCTTTTAATATCTCTAGCATTCTCTCCATAGTTGTCTCAAACCTGAGTGTGCATTTATCTTGGATGGCGGTAGCAAAATATGTTCGTTGGATGATTACCTCCATCCGCAATCTTAGCTGTCTCTTCCAAATTTTGACCTCTTGCGGTTCCAAGGTAATTTGGACTTCGACTGGGAGTTTTTTCATCCGTATATAACGCAATATAAATTCAGCTTGAGAATCACAACCGGAATTTCGGCGTGAGCGTGCGAAAGGGGCTGACGGCTTCTGATCTCCTAAAACTTCAGCGTCTAATAAAGATTCCATTCCCTGTTGTTCTGGATGAGTTGTGAGTTCAATGATCATTTGCCTAAGCTTCTCACAGCAATCTTGGTCTTGTCTATTTCTTAGGAAATGTTGAGTCGGCTTGACGATATAATCCAGAAGATGTTTCAGGGTTTTTGATCCGATGATTTTTAAATATCGAGTATATTAATTCAAACCGAAGATATGTATAATATCTGTTTAAAGTAGGTACTGTCGATTGGCCATACTTGAACATTAATGGTGACGCTGTTTCCGAGTTAATCTCCTTCGATTTCGGTGAAAAGGTGTAAATCCTTTGTCCGTCATATGAAGAACATAATCAGAGCAAGATTTAATTGTCACAACCAAATTCAAGCTAAAGAG